GGAAAATAGCTGAGGAGTAGCCGTTGGCACTAGGTCGGCAATGTTCTTTGTATCTTACTTTGAGCGGTCGGCTTGTCTCTCCGATGTAGGTGTTGTTACAGTTGGGCTCCTCACATTTGAGTCTGTAAATAACATTCGCCTTGGTACCTTTGTGAGGTCGGTCCTTAGGGTGTACCAGTCTTTGTCTGAGGGTTGAGTGAGGTTTTGAAGTTAGTGGCTATGTTGAAGTTTTTGGAAGATCCGTCGGAGTTTCTCAGATACTCCTTTGGACATACGGAATAGTGATGTTAGCCTTGTTTTTGTTGGTCAATGGTTTGCACTTCTGGGTTTTCTTAAACTGATCTGAAGGTTTGAGCGCTTTGTTGAAAGTCCAGTTTTGGTAGCCACATTTAGCCAGGGCACCTCGGAGGTGTTTTTGTTCGTCCGTTTTGGCTTGGTCTGAAGTGACAATATTATCTGCACGATGGAAGAGAGTTTTGATCACTGCTAATTTGTGTTCCAAAGGATGGTGGGAATCAAAGGCCAGGTACTGATCAGTGTGGGTTGGTTTCCTGTACACTTCGAAACGAAGGTTACCATCTTCCTCTACGATAGTTTTGGTGTCTAGGAAAGGGAGCATGTTGTCATGGCTTGGCTCCTGTGTGAACTTGATGTTGTCATCTATCTGGTTGATGTGGTCAAAGAAATCTGCAGCTACCCTCTTTTTCAATCTGCACCAAGTGTCATCTACATATCGAAACCAGTTGGCCGGGGGAGTGTCATTGAAAGTGCTGAGGGCTTTGTTTTCAAACTTCTCCATGTACAGGTTTACAACAATTGGTGAAACTGGTGATCCCATAGCACAGCCGTGCATCTGTTGGTAGAACTGTCCTTTGTAGGTAAAGTATGTGCATCCTAAGCAGAGTTCTAGTAGCTCACAAACTTGGTCAACTGATAGGTTGGTTCTATCTGCAAGTTTATCGTCGGCTTCCAAGGCTTCCCTGACTACTGACACTGCTTCCTTAGGTGGTATGGAGGTGAAAAGTGAGCACACGTCATACGAAGTGATGGTTTCATCATCCTCTACATGAATGTCTTCACCAAAATTTGTCTTCACTTTTTTTTGCATATCAATCAACAGGTTGTACTTATAAACCTGCTTTCCCCTCTGGTCTCTCAGTCACTGACGAAAGCTAGTGGATACTAGCTGAAACGTCTGACGTTTTCAAAATCATATCCAGTTGCTTGAGTAACTGTTTTTTGGCGTATCGTATTACCTGGATGTCTAACCTTCATCGACGCAACGAATACACTATTGGAATATTTTTAGATGTAAGTAAGGCTTTTGACACTGTTAATCATTTGATTCTTTAAAAAAACTTGACAAATATGGCATCAGAGAGGTTGCACTTAAGTTGTTTACTAGTTATTTATCCGATAGAAAACAATACGTTGTCCTTAACGATAATTCTTCTTCCTGCAAACCTATAAATTGCGGAGTCCCCCAGGGATCGATTTTAGGGCCCCTCTTGTTTTTATTATATGTAAACGACCTTGCTGAAGCATCCAAAATTATGTTCTTCATACTATTTGCCGATGATACTAATCTCTTTCTTCCACATGTAGATTTTGATTCTCTGATTCAACTAGCCAACCAAAATTAGAAAAAGTTATTACATGGTTCGAAGCAAACTATCAGTTAATATCAAAAAGACCTATTATCTTATCCTTTGTAGCAAAAATAAGGCAAATAAAAATCCCACCATCTACTTAAAAAACCACATTCTCTCCAAAGAATCTCAGGCTAAGTTTTCAGGAATTCAAATAGACGACCGCTTAACCTGGAAGTCTCACATTG